AACATGTTTACATACCTGAATAGCCGGTTCGCCGACAGGTGTAATAAATAAGTCGACAAATAAATGCAGAAAGACGAAAGAATCTCACTTCATCCGGAACCGAATGACATCTCTCTCATTCTCGGTTATCACTTCGCTTCACCGAAGCTACATACGATACTTTTTGTTTATATCCGAGGAATGTCAGCGCACTCGTCTTTCGATCATGGCGAAGTAATGCACAGCTAGTGTTTCTCAAACAGATTGAATAAACTGCGATCGCAAAACACAAAAGATTTCTCTTTCCCAACTGTCTATAAACATTTCAAGATCAAATTTCAAGATTAAGTTACCCGAGCTTTCACATGTTTCACACGAATTTCTGTTGACCATTGACTTACACCATTTCTTGTTATCGCGTGACGCGGCTTTCACTTGAAATTGTACCGAGTCGCGCTATCTTATGGTAAAATTATCGCGATAGCTTACTTATCTGCAGTCGCCTCCGATTTCGCTGATGTTAATTACGAATTTCTCATAGTCGCGTCGCGACGTGCAACGTGGAATTTGACAGTCTGTCCATGGCGATTCACGGTTCCGCGAAATCTGTCAGCGGATTTGCAAGCTGCCAGCTGTGATTATCCTGTAACGTGCGTGTCGTGTTTCACCGCCACAAGACAATAGTAATTCCTCCGGCAGTGTTTGCTGATGAGAGCACGCGAAGAGGAGGTTCGTCTCAATGAGCGACAATTGCAGTATTTTATCAATTGCGTCAGATTAAATACTCCAGGATGCTTCCTTAGTTGACAACGAATTACATTGTGTCCGCGACGTCTGCTGCAGTCGAAATAAATGTAGTCGAGTGTTTTAGACAAATATGCGGCTTTCATTGCATTGCTGTTTATATAATTGCATTGTTATTCAAAATGTTTTAAGATAAAGCTTTGTTTCTTTGAAGATATTGCTAATATGATTGAATTTTAAATAACGTTACGTTTAAATAACGTTACGTTTAAATAACGTTACGTTTTTCTGTTACCAGATGTCACAATGAAGAAATTTTCAATTTACTGGAACGTTACGGATTTATAAAAGATGTCAGAGTCCAAAGATAAACAAGTCGAACAGTGCGACATAGTCCTTCCAAGACAAGGTCTGTTGTATCAGGAGGACACGCTGAATTACATACTCTGTAAACCAAAATTGATTCCGTTAAAGTCAGTTACATTGGAGAAACTGGAGAAGATGCAAAGAGAAGCGGAAATCAAAGTCAAAGAAGCTCAAGAGACAGAAACTAATTTCGATACAAATGCATAAGTATCCACTGGTAGTTTGAAAAGTCATACGATTTATTAGATATTTATTGCACAAGGAGACAAAATGGTCCTCGGTGCATTCTTAACAGAGATTATAGTGGCGTTCTTACTGGCCGGAACATTGCTTTTCAAATATGGAAACGTGTTCCGGCATCACATTATAGTCACAATCTCTGTGTTGATAGCTTGGTACTTTTCCCTACTAATAATTTTCATATTACCTTTGGATGTTTCCTCGGTAATTATACTACTATCTATAATACTATATAAATTAATACAGTTTAATACAAGAGTGTTCCTTTCTCATTAAAATAAGATATGCTGCATAATAATTTTATAGAAGAGTTGGAAACTTTCAAAAAAATCAAATATGAATCATAATTACTTTATTTTTAGCAATTCAACATTGATTCTTCTATGAAAAATTGTGCTTATTATTTGGCATATTTTATTTTTAAAGAATAACATTAATTATTCTCATATTAAGAAAAAGATAACAATTCTATTAAAATTATTCTTAAATATTTTAAAATAAGCCTTTTGTGAGATATGAAACAAAATAAGTAAAGCAATACCTCATTTTTGCAGACCGTATTCAGACAATGTGTAGAGAAAAACATACATAACAACACTAAAAATCCTGATAACACAACTTCTGCACCAATAGTTACGTGTAGAGAGCCTTGGCCCAATGTGCCAGATAATGTATTTCCAAATCTGTGGAGAATAGTTTATTGGACTTCTCAATGCTTGACATGGCTGATACTCCCGTTGATGCAATCTTACATAAAAGCAGGGGACTTCACTGTACGAGGAAAATTAAAGTCTGCTTTAATAGATAATGCTATATATTACGGCAGTTATCTGTTTATATGCGGCATACTTTTGATATACATTGCGCTGAAGCCAGGTTTAGATCTTGACGGGTGAGTCCATTATTAAATTACGATGAATAAACTGAATTGATAATAAGCTGAAAAAAATATAGATTAGATAAAAACACTAAAAATATTTCTATCAAATATATCCGTTTAATAGAAATAAAAAAATAACAATAACGACGTTTCTTGTAGCCAAAAATTGAAAGCAATCGCGTCCTCTGCATCCAACACATGGGGTTTATTTCTACTGGTCTTGTTGCTTGGATATGCGCTTGTAGAGGTGCCTCGAGGATTGTGGAATGCCAGCAAGCCCGGGTATACTTTAAGTTACAGCTACTTCAAGGTGGCAAAATTAAGTTTGGACAAATGCGAAGCAGAAGAAACGGTGGATGATATACTCGAGGTAATTTTTATCTCTGGTGTGTATTAAAAGTTTTTTGCAAACTTTCATAATGGACGATGTGTCATTTAGTCGCTGCAAATTGCAACAATATCCATTGGCCCCGGTCATCCGTTCCACTGCAACCTGGAAACAATTTTCCAAAAGATACCTGCAGAATTGAAAGACAGAATGAACAGGAGACAACTGCCGGACGACACTCCAACAGACACTCCCACTGAGAAGTCCTTGATTCGTCTGCATAGACAGGTTCGTTGAAACCGAAATTTACGCCACTGTTATCGCATTCGCATTTATACATATTGCCATTATTTTTATTCCAGACTATAAAAGCATTGCAGACCCTGCAACGCATAGAAACTCAATGGTGTATTTTAGTGGATAAGATATTCGCTTTAGAGGACGTAGCTAAGAATCAAGTCAGTCACGATAGAAGATTCAAACCATCTTTCCCTACGCATCGCTCGCTTCCGTTCCGCGTTATTTACAATCCCGTTGTTGGTACGTAATAACAATTAATAACTTAATATAATTAATGCAGAGCCTGCAATTCTATATAACCTCATGATTAAAATTTCAGAATGGTACTGGAAATGTGTTACGAAAAATTACGTCCTAAAGGCAGCTGCCATTTGCGCTGGCTGCCTGTCGGTGGCTGTGGTATGGTCGGAAGTAACATTCTTCAACAAATCTCCCGTGCTATCGTTATTCGCTCAATTTGTGAATCTAGCGAAGAGGAACTATGATTATTTTACGATAGAGGTAAAGATTTGTAGTTTATATATTTCGAGAGTTATATATAAATTACCATTTATTATATATTAATTCTCAGGTGCTGTCCACATTGATCATCGCATATCTTTGCTACTGCGCTTACTCAACCGTCTTGAAGATACGAGTGTTGAACCTTTATTATTTGGCGCCTCACCATCAGACAAACGAGTACAGCCTGATATTCAGCGGTATGATGCTGTGTCGTTTAACGCCGCCTATGTGTCTTAATTTCCTGGGACTTATTCACATGGATTCCCACATCATCAAAACCCATATCCTAGAAACACATTATACGCAGGTTAGTAAAATAGTTTAAATAATTTATAGACTCTTTTAGAATAAGTTAATTATTTTAAACACATGCAATGTAAAGGCCCTATAAAATCAAGAAATATAATAGAATGGCATCAAGAGCCGTCGCAGGATGTTAGTGCTAAATTTTTAATTTTTTCATAAAGACATTAATAAATTAGTCTACAAGAGACAGTTAGATTGTACGCCGATCTCAGATCGAGATACCTAAAGTGTACGAAATTTTAAGTACATTGTTCTCATATATCGAGAAACTTTAACGTACGTATAGGAATTATTGGAGAGAAAGCAAGAGAGAAAAAATATCAGGGCGCGAGTGGCTAAGCTGGGAATTGAACCCGGATCTTTCGCTTGCCGGGCGAATGTTCTGACCACTAAACTACTAAACTTAACCATTAAACTTAATTATTTTACTTATCTTTTTCGTAGGTGATGGGCCACATGGATGTTATTTCCATAATATCTGATGGATTTAACGTGTACTTTCCTATGGCAATTCTGGCGTTCTGCTTAGCAACATACTTTAGTATAGGCAGTCGATTACTTTCCATGCTGGGCTTTCAACAATTCCTCGATGACGACGAATTTACAACGGATCTCGTAGATGAAGGCAGAGAACTTATAAAAAGAGGTAAATCTTATTGGACGACATCTTAAACGCGATTTATATCTATAATTTGGTTGTGCTAATATCTGATATGATAAATAAACAAGTAAAAAAAAAAATATAACACATTTTCTCGTCGTTACAGAGAGACGTAAACGGCAGAGAGCGGAGGATTCTATGTACAGACGACGTGAAATGCAGGAGAGATTCAACGTTTCAGCGGGCACAGGATCGCGATACAGGACTTCTCGACAAAGCACCGACACTGGTGTGTATAACGAAAAATAAATAAATAAGAATCGTGTAATACAAATTTGTTACTTGATGTTTTAATGTTCTCTAGTACGACCGTTAAAGCGAGACGAGTCGGTCGAATCGGCGAGAGCGGGTCTGTTGCACGATTTCGATCCGTCGGAATATCACATCGGCATGACATTCGGAGGAGAGACTTACGGTGCGAATAATTATTGCGACCGGGATAATCAAGGCGACAACGATCTGTACGATCCGAGCGGCACGAGGCCGTTCTCCACGAGCACGAGTCGCGTGGGTCCTCCGCCGAGAGGGTTATTCGACGACATTTAAAGTATGACATCCTCGCAGATGTAGCTTAGGTGCTAGCCTAGAATTACGTGAATTGGCTTTAATAGTATTTACACGACATTTATATTGAGGTTGTGCTGGTGCGAGCACCAAGTCCTGAAAATTATTCATTCAGTGTAGTACAGTGAATTTTATTTATAAACAGAAGGTAAAGATAAAGGCTTTACACGCCTGACATTTTAATTTAAGGTAGAAGTACTAAAGAACAAAATAAAATTGTATCATGAGATATAATTATAACCGATTACTTATTGAAGCATGAGCAGATTAAAAAAAAGATTTGGGCGGATCGATGTCACAATGGCGATGCTTCTTTTTTACAAGGAACGTGATCACGGCGAATCAATAATGGTGCAATGAACTTTAGATCTAATAGTGAATATGTACATATTTATTACGTTTTATTAGAATAAATATACTTTCATCTCTCGATTATCCTTTTTAGTTTTGTAATGAATTCGGCTCATGTGGAAGCTAATAAATAATTTGTATACAATTTATTTTAATCATGTGTACCTGAAACAATTATTTATTAATATTTTGATCTTTGTAAACAATTTAGATGTATTTTTTATCTTTTCATTTGTATGCACACATCTATCAATCTCTCGTAACATTTTAACTTTTATATTTTCAATTTAAGTACATCGTTATACATAATCTTATAGATTTGTATTTCTTTTATTCACTTAATTTTATCTGTATTACAAATAATTGTATGTGTTTGGGACAAAAGGTTGGCATGAAGAAAAATTGGCTGGGTGATGATAGGAAAAAATTTAATAAGAACAAGTCAATATATATATATACAATAATAATAACACGTTAATCAAATGTAAATATGCACGAATAATTTACAAACTTAAACATCGGCATTTATTACGAGGGCATTTCCATAAAATATAACAATGATAAAATATAACTTCTAGTGTTGACTAAAAGTCTTGTCTTTTAATTTATTATAGATTATTTTTCATTATATCTCCCATACATTTACGATATATCCAAACTTATGTGAATCTATTTCGAATTTTAGTCTATAAGATTTATCTTTACTCAAAGATTTAAAAAATATATCTGCTTCGTTTTTTGATACATACCTTAAAAGCATATCAGTTTTTATTCAATTGTATAAATCTATTATATATTAATGAACATCTCATATAAATAAAATGGCATTAAAATAAATTTCTGTATTTTCTACTATCGTTGATGCAGTAGGAACTGTTAAACATTTGATATATTAACAGACAACAAGAATAAACGAATTAAATTTCCAACTTTTTATGTTATAAAATTACGAACTTTGAACGCACGTCTCAAATAATGCTTTATAAGCTCAGTAAGTTATTTAACGCGACTACACCGCTCTGTTAAAGTATAGTTGAAATATATTTACGATAATGCGGTAGGAATTATGCGAGCCTGTCACGCGTGTGATTTGGTAAACGTAGTCCACTCATATAGTGATACAGATTTAATATCTGCTTAATTATTAAGATAGTTAATTTATATACTACAGAACATTTTCTTGTCATTAATGAATCGGCAAATTAAAAAATAATTACAATCAACTGATCACATGACAAAAATATGTAAGAAAATATATATATATATATATATAAATATTGTGCGTATATACAATTTTGATCGATTCTTTGGCAAATATTTCGATAACGACACTTTGAGAGATATATACTGTGAAATTAATGACAATAAATGTATCATGTAGCATCTAATGTGACTTGAACACACGATTAAATTTCCTAGACATCTCGCGGTTTCTCAAACTTAACAAACAGTTGTAAAGCTACGTAAAGTAAACAATGTAGAATGTAATGCCTGC